CCTGCCTGAGTGTGATTGTTATGAGTTCAATGTTTTGGCACTGGCGACTTTACTTAGGATTATTGGTAAAAAAAAAAACAAACTAGTTTAATATCACAACAGCTACATAACATCCTGAAATCCAACAACATGAATCACAATGAACCCTGGAATGTAGAAAAGTCAGCATATTTAACCCTTTACACCCTAACTGGATCATTATGCATATTCTCCAATCTGTTTCTATACATTACCTAAGTTCTAACAAGGAGAATTTGTAAAACCATCAAGAGCTTCGTTAGTTGCTGATCATTTCCTTTATTCTTGTGACTTAAACATTTGTTTCAGGGGTGATATTGTAAGGAGAAATAACCTTGTCACTCTTAGGGATTAAAGGGTTAAACCTGATGGGTGACAACCTTGAAAACTGTGAACCAAACAAAAGGAACCTGAACAATAAAATAACAAAACTACAGCTCAAAGGATTACAAATATTTTGCTGAAAATACCCACAATAATAATTACCTATGCCTATCAGAAAAAAAAAAGAAACTTATAATAATAATGAATGTTCTATAAGCACAAATACAATGACGAAAAATAAGAAGACATGACAATTACAGGTTTTCAAGTTTTTAGACACATTACCTCCTGTATATACAGTAACATTAACCTACACGCATGTGTTCTTAATATAATTGGGAAAACACAATTTTTTTCCATGTTGTGAAAATACTTCTTACCCAAAGTTTTGATTAGTGATTGGGATAATTTTCTATTATTGGTTTAGTTGTGTGAAAGTATTTTTTTGAAATAGACTCCTCAATCACTGCTCTCTCTTTTATTCCTCAGAGACCCAAACAACAACGACCCAAGAAAGAAAATTAAGTAGCGTAGAAATTGCCGGGCTTACTATTTCAGTTCTCGTAGGATGTACGATAGCTGGAGTTGCTGTTTACTTTGTAAGGTATGAAGATGAATTTCTGTTGGTTTTTAGGGTGAAAGAAAGGGGGGGAAGACAGTAAGGGATGCCAGTGTGAGAGGGCAGGGAGCTCAGGAACCAATCAATCCACTATCCCTGGGGGGGATGGAAGTTTTTTTTTTGAGGGGGTGGGTGGGGGGGAGGAGATCATACGGAATTTAAAGGAAACAGAGGGGACATCAGTCGTCGTCGCCAACAGAGTATGAAGTGGGGGGTAGGATAGGTATAGAAAACTGACTACTAATTAACTGCCAATGATGAGGGTGTAGATCATAAGAATAATACAGAACCTTAAGGAAGGATCACGTAAATCTTACCGTGACACAATCAAAATCCTCCAGAGAGGATGGAAGAGAAGTATTGGGAGTGAACGATAAGGAAACAGATGCAGATATGGAGAAAGAAACTGACAAAGGTGTGTGATTTTGAGAAAGGAATAATGGGAAAAGAGACAGAGATGGAGAGGGAGAAATAGATGAGAAGGAAGGAAGGAAGGAAGAGAGAAACGAAGGAATGGAAAGAAGAGAGCAAAAGAATAAGAAGGAATGTGAGAGCAAGGGATTGAGAGGGCGAGGGTAGAAGGGACTTGTTTGGAAGGAAGCTGAAATAGAAATGAGGGTAGGCTGTGTGGGACAATGAGAAAGTATTGGTAACAGCACAGTATTCCAAAATATTCCAGTAATTATCTCACAGGACTTTATCATTATCTTTATTTAACGCTTTTTTTTTTTTCCTAATGGTAGAAAATGGGGACGCCGGCAAACACCTCTGATGCC